ATAGCCCTGTCTCTTATACACATCTAGATGTGTATTAGCTCTCTCTCTCTCTCTCTCTCTCTCTCTCTCTCTCTCTCTCTCTCTCTCTCTCTCTCTCTCCCCCTGGTCCTTTTCACTGCCCGCGGTTCATTCGTCCTACGCCCCTACACCCCCGTTTCGTTGCACCCTTGCACCCTCCTCTCCTTCCCGTTACCGCCTGCCGAGGTTCGCCCGCTCCGTTTGTTTGTCCGCACGTCGGCCTCCCGCCCCCCCTGCGCCCCTAACATACATCAAACCATGCAGTAAGCACTCGCGCAGCGTGCCTCCAGCGCGCGCTCAGTAAGCAGCCGAAAAAAAAAAAAAATGCGACGACTCACTCACGACTCACGAAAACAAAAAAAGTGGCGGTGCATCTTCGCGACCTTGGGTGACAGATTCAGACCCGCCGCGTGAAAAAAAAAAGTGGCGGTGCATAGATTCAGATCCGCCGGGTCGGCTTCCACTAAAAACCGGCTCGCGGACCGACGGGTCGCGCCACCGGTTCCCCCTCGCCCCAACTACCTCGGAGCGGGCCCACGTGGCGGCGCCCGTTTTCTGTTGGGCCCGTCACGCGAGACCCGCTTCTTCCTTTATAGTATTAGAGATGGAGGGCTGAACCAGAACCAATATCTGAATCTTCTCCTTACTGCCAGCAACCAATGAGGTCCACCAGAGCCACGACCTACACCTTCTTCCACCTCCAAGCGGTGGTGGCTATGGCAGACTAGAGGGGCCTTGCCCCAATGTTCAAAGGACAATGCAAAAGCAGATATGCCCCCTACTACTCAGACTGCCATGCCTAACTCTTCCCTGAAGCCTTCTTAAGGCGGTGCACCCCCACCGAAGCCTTCCAGGTTCAGTGCCAACCAAGGAGATGAAGATGCGGTCCACCATAGCCACCCTCCGTCCCCTTTTTCCATCTCCTCCTACCTGGTCCGCACCACCATGGCCGAAGGTGGAGGGCCGAAGGTGGATGGCCGAAGTTGGAGGGCCGGGCGCTACTAAGTGCACTCTAAGCTGCGCGGGCCTACCTGACCGCTACGTCAGTGCTAGCCTACCACTACTTGAGTGTTTTCCCCGCTGCATCCCTCAAAGTCAGGGCCACAGGTAAGTACCGGCCCGAGGGCCTCCCAAACATACAAGTACCCTGGCGGGTCACACACACACTCAAGCAGTCATGCACTCAGACAGGCACATAGGGGGGCACAGGGGTGGTATAGGGGTGGTATAGGGGGTATTGGGGGAGGTATGAGGATGTTGGGGGGGTGTATGGGGGTATTGGGGGCGGGTATGGGGGTGTTGGTGGGGTTATTGTGGGTTCTGGATCCTTTTTTTTTTTTTTTTGATTTGCGGGTTGCCGACGACCCCTGACCAGTAGGTGCCGACCATCGGGGTATGCAACACTGTCCTAGAGTGAAAAAAAAACAACAGTAGAAAACATGTAACCCTCAGGATGCGCACAGAAGGGAGTGGATTACAAAATGAACTTTCAAATGAGAAGAGATGCATTGATGCGGAATTTGATGGTAACGAATGATGGGGGTGCTGGGACTGTGGCAAAGTCTTAGTTTGAGTGCAGCATAAGAAACATTGCGAGTAGCGATAGATTGTAGAAAGAGATCGGACTCCTAGTCTTCCTAGATGTGCAAATGAGAAATGCATTGAAGGTAATGATTGATGTGCTGGAAGAGTCATGATTCGAGAATTTCCAAGATTCCGAGTCCGAATGCAGCCTAAGAAACATCGCGAGTAGCAATTGATTGTAGAAAGTGATTGGATTCCTAGAGTAAACAGTGCTAAAAAAGGTGTAACCCTGAGGACGCGCACAGAGGGTGACATAATGAATGTGCAACTGAGAAGAGATGCATTTGACGGTAAAGAGCGATGAGTGTGGTGTTAGCATATACAGTTTTGTCTTCAGGGTGCCTCTCCAGGCTGTAGTTGAAGGGGTCTAGGGTAGAGCTTGTGCCCCTTTTAGGAAAATGGGTGAAAACTTGCAAAGGTACATCTTTGGTCAGTCTGAACCCTGATCCAAATGGGGACTGTGGCCATTTTAGGAAAATGGGGCGAATGGGGTAATGGTTCTTATCAGGGAGAACGCGTGGCGTTGGCTGTGCATTCTGGCCGGGGTTCTGCAAGCCAATGACTTAGTCCTTTGCGTGAACCTTTTCGTCAGTAATGGAGATGAAGTTTGAATAGAGAGGCATGGCTGTGAGGCAAAGTTTAAGGATTGAAATTAAGAAGACATGCCCAGAACTGATTGGCATCTGTTCATGTTTTTGTCTTCTGCTTTGCTCCTTGGGTACAGTCTCTGCTTGTGAAGTTCCGTCAAGGACCAGCTGCTGTTCGCACACAGGTGAGAATATGTCTGCAACCTATTTATTTCAACTTTTCAAGTTCGGATGTGATTGAAACGGAAGTTGTGGATTTGGTATTTGTCTTCTTGTTCTTTTCTTTTTGTTTTGGGACTGTGATTGAAAAGGACGTAATGAGTTTGCCGTGATTTTTCTGCTTTTTTTGTGTGTTAGTAGGGGAAGTGTGTGTTAGTAGGGGAAGAGGAGTGAAGGATGTTCGCGTGTGAGCTGTGTGTGTGTGTGTGTGTGTGTGTGTTGTGTGTGTGTGTGTGTGTGTGTGTGTGTGTGAGAGAGAGAGAGAGAGAGAGAGAG